GCCACCCAGGCCTCACTGAGCCTTCAGTCCCCTTCAGTTTCGTCCTTCTCACCCTCCAGAGCATCAGCTGCACACGGGCAGGAGTGCCATGTGCACAGGGCACCTCATCCACAGCTAAAGCCCACCTGCTGCCGAGTAGCAGTTTTCTGGAAATTCTCAGAGTTAGCTCTAAGGGGGAAACAGTCCTGGCTACAGCCTGACAGGAGTCCCAGAGGGCAGTTAGAACTGAATTCTGGCCCTGCACATCTTGCGCCTGGCACTGAGGGTAGAAGGCATCTCACCTCCCTTTTCCACCGTGCCAGCCACTCGTCCCGTTTCCGTTTGCTGATGTAGTAGGGGTCCCCTGCCTGGAAGGTGAGTCTTGGCATGGGCCGCTGACGGAGGCTGGACTCCCAGCCCAAGCCACCCCGCAGTCTGCCCCGGGAGCCCTAGGACAGAAGACAGACAAGCATTAAGGTAGGCACCGGTACCCCTGCAGGGTTTGCCCCTCCTGGAGGGGAAACTGAGCGGGGATCACTCATCCCAAACAGAATATAGAACATCTGGCTCCTGGCCAGAGGGGTCAACCCCAGAATACTGAGGAGGATTCCAAGTTGGTAGAGACACATGAACGAGGCAGTGAGGGGAAGTGCTTGGTCTCCTGAGGGGGGGATGAGCTGGCTGCCTGGCTAGGGGACTTCCAACCTCCACCCCCACTTCCTCTCCTCACAAAGGGACACCAAAGAAGGGGCAGGGACCCACCCTCGGGCCCCCTCACACACACTCGCCACAGTCCGTCAGAGAGGTGGCTTTCTTCTAGAATCAGGATCCACAGAGCCCCTGGGGGTGAGGAAAACACTTGCCTCCATTTTCATGGACTCGATGTTGGTCTGCTTCTGTTCTTTGCCTGTGGAAAAGGAAAACAAGGGGGCTGTCCACCGAGTCACCAGGGTGGCTCGGAGCAGCCGCAGGGCTTCCTAGCATGTGCCTATTCATGTGTCATCCATGCCGGCCGCCGTGTGCCAGGCTGGCTCCAAGGACCCAGAACAATGGAGCAGAGACAGGTCCTGCCCAGGTTCCAGGACCAAGAACATAGGAGTAAGAGAAAAGTCAGGGGCACGGTTCCTGGCCCACAGACCCTGGTCTCAAGTACACAAAAGGGGTTTCGAAGCAGCCCCCATCTATCTGCTGCTGGCCTCCAGCCCTTCTCCAAAGCAAGGAGGGGTGGGGGTGGGGGGGTGAGGGGCAGAGCAGGGGTTGGGCTGAAGAAGCCAGACTGTTCACATCTTCCTGAGAGGTAGGAAAAGGTGCCCAGACACGGACAATGGGCCAGCTAGACTAGACCCCAGTGACACAGTGAGTCTCTCCTCACTATAAACAGTTCTAAATAGCACGGCCCTATTATTAACGTGTAAACGGTACCCCCTTCCTGGCCTATTCTCAGGTCACCAGGATCAGTCTGGATTCTAACTGCCTCAGTACCCTAACCACCCCTAGCCTCTGCTGTTTCCTCACCAATAATGCGACATTTATGCTCTAAAGATTGGTGAGATTGGTGTGAGCAATGAGTTCATGGAGCAGGGCTTAGCATACAGTAGGTGCTCAATACGTGTCAGCATAACACACACACACCACCACCCAGGGGCTCCTTCCCTGGAGCACACATTTCTCTGTTCTGGCTTTTCTCAAAGTTCCGGACTGGGCACTGATTCCAGATCCAGGGAGGGACATCGGGGCTGGGAGCAGCAGTCCCCACAGCGCCATCTTTAGGAAGGACTCTGGGCTTCTCTAGGCCGGGCATGAGGGCAGCTACAATCTTCCTTTCGACTTCTGCCTGCCGGCCTGGCTCCTCTTGCAACCAGCCCCGCTGCACCCAGCTATATGGCTTTTCCTAGCAAGAGAGGAGAATTCAGCCACCTTTCATCTGGGTGCCGCCTGAATGCCTTTTTCTGAAGTTGAGAAAATACAGGGCTTGGCCCCAGAGCAGGAAGGTCACTAAGGTAGACTCATGTAGCATGGTGTGTAAGGGGAGTGGGGTACGGAGACAAAGAGCCCCAAACGGAAAAAACAGCCCCCGCTGCATCGCCAAGCTCAGGAGCGGAAACCACCCGCAGCATTTAGGGCTCTGAATTTTTAGCCTGGACGTTTCCCTCCTGTTACCAGACACGACCTGGAGCTCCTCTCTGCACCTGCCCAGAGCACCCCGACAGGCAGCCACGTGTGCCTGGCTCCCATCTACGGGGGTGGGAGGGAGGCAGAGCCCCTGCGGGACACCCCGTGGGCTGTGGACTCCGTGGGAGGCAGGCGTGTCGCTGGGCCTCGTAGAGACGGTGCGGTGCGTGGGAGGAACATGGTGGCTGTCACCCGTGGGTGGGGGGTGCGCCCTCCCAGCACAGGGTACGTGGTTGGCCTTTTAAGGCACGTCTCACCCTTCACGTTTCCGGCTCTTCCTCCACGTCCTCTCTCCCACCGCAATCTGCTCCCCACTTTCCACGGGGCTCCCCCTCAGGCCTGCCCTGGGCCTCCCACCTCTGGGGCTGGCTCCTCCCTCAGACCTCGATGCTCTCGGCCCAGGACCCAGGTTGCCAGGAGGGGGCGCCGGCCCTGGATCGCCTTCCATGCTCCTGCTGAGGCTGCTGCAGCCATGCAGCAAGCAGCTAAGGGTGGTGAGCGAGGCCCTCAAGCTGGTCCACACTATTGGACTGTCTACTGGACCTAGAAGTTTCCTGAATAACCCCCTCCCCAACACACACACACCCAGTGGCTCTTGATTACGTTTACCAGGAGTGATTTGTTTATTAGAATACAAGAAAATCTGGGCTGAAAATAAGCTATGGTTGTTTACTGAATGCTTTACACGAGGAAACTGAGCAGGTGAGCAGAGCTGTAATCCGATTTCAGGGCTCCTGACTCCCAAGTGCACCACCACCGCCATTCCTGTTTCCTTTGTCAGTGCTCCAGCCCCCAAGGTCTCCCGAATGGAAACTTCCTGAAACAGTTTCCAACTGGCTCCTTTCTGGAATTTTCTTCCCGACAGATTGCGCATGCCCACGTGAGTGATCATTCTCTCAGGCGCACGCGCACTAACACACACACACACACACACACACACACAGGCACTCAAGCACACACGCATGCATACACACACACTCTCTTCCTCTGCTGCCTGGCCAGCAGACTGGCTATCATAGAATGTTGGGCGGTCACTGGCTCTCTGAGGGTTCCTTCTGCAGCCGTCTGCACTGGCACAGACCCAGGGTCCCAGAGCCAGGTGGCTGAGTGCCTTCCAGAGTGACCCTGGAGAATAGGAACATGACTCCAAGACACCTCAGGTCCTGGGGACAGGGGAGGTCAGGAGCTTCTAGTGCTATCCAGCACGGAGCAACCCGAGTTCTCTTTATAATGAGATAATACCCCGGTGACAGGGCAGATGGCAGATTTTTTTTTTTATGTTTGACATCTTGACTTGAGTCAATAGCTTTAGGTTTTGTTTTTTTTTTAATTTTTTATAATTTATTTAACTTTATTTTATGTGCACTGGCGTGAAGGTCTCAGATCCCCTGGAACTGGAGTTATAGATAGGTGTGAGCTGCCGTGTGGGTGCTGGGAATTGAACCCGGCTCTTCCGGAAGAGCAGTCAGTGCTTCTTACTGCTGAGCCATCTCTCTAGCCCGAGATGCCAGATTTATTATAAGCACCATTACTGTCCCATATCTGTCCCCATGCTTGGTCTGAGCAGAGCAGCTTTCTGCCAACCCTCCCCCACTCCTCTGCCACCAGGCTTCAGGCATCCCAGTCTGGCCTCCGGAGCCTTAAGTAGCTGAGGATGGCCTTGAACTTCTGGTCCTTTTGCTTGCAGCTACCACGTTCTGAGACTTCACGTGTATACCTGGCATCCTTACTTTCTTCCTCACGTGACACAAGGCTGAAGTCAGACAGCATGAGGATCTGTAAGGTGGAGCTAAAAAGTCTGCATCTTGGCTCCCCATGTACTACAGACACGGCCAGCATGGACCACTCAGAGGTGAGGGAACAGCACATTATAGTAGAGGCAGGCATGTTGGGTTTCCAGGAAGGATACATGGAACTCAACTGTGAGACATCTGATTACACTGTGTAAAGACATGTCCCTGTGGTTGGCTTAATGAAAGGCTAAACGGCCAATAGCTAGACTGGAGGTATAGCAGGCACTCTGGACAGAGGGCAAGACAGGACAGGTAAAAGCCACGAGTCACGTGACAGCACGTAGATGAACAGAGATGGGTTAATTTAAGTACAAGAGCTAGTGGGACAAGCCTAAGCTACAGGCCGAGCTTTCATAATTAATAATAAGTGCCTACGTCATTTTTTGTGAGCTGGTGGCCTCCAAAAATTTCCAACTACAACTCTCAGAAAAAAGCCTTGGAAGGCGGGGCCCTATGGCCGAGCTGCTTCCTTCCTCATGGAGCAGGACCAGCAACATAAGGCCGGAGCCTCCCCACTGCACACCTCTCTCGGGTAGCTAGGGTCACTCTGGAGTGAATGCCCCCAAGGTCAAATGGAGGTTGAGTGTCTGTCTGCCTATCACGCTCAGACTCTAAGTTCCCAACCCGGTTTATCAACTGCTGGATGTTTCTTTACCTCTCAGACCCAGCATTTGCCCATCTCCCTCCACCTCTGTGGAGACTGCTTCCTCCCAGCCCTCAGCAGCCCCCTAATTCCTCACCCCACTTTGGAACCCTTGGGGGAATCTACATGGAAAGTCATCTTTCCAATCACAACCTGTTAAGTCAGCCCTGAGAAGGCAGCTAGGAAAGCCTGTTTGGCCACCCACCACCCACTCCCTGCCACATCCTTCCCCCTGGTGGATTCTGTGGGGTGTCCATGCCCCCTGTTCTCACCTTGGAGCCATTCTGTTCTCACTGTCTTCTTACCCCAGCCCCCCAGCTCCAGCACATCCCTCCATTGTGACAGAATAGTGGGGACCAGCTTAGGTCCTGTGTCCTCGTTCCTCACAACATTGTCCTCCCTTACCCCAGGGGCACTGTCCTCTGTGCACAACAGCAAACGTTTGCTTTGTTGTTATTTTGTTTTGTTTCTGAGAGAGGAGGCTTGCCTAAAAGTTGATGGGCAGAGAATGCCCTTGATCTCCTGACTTTCCATCCGTTTCCCACATCCTGAGATTTGGACACCATGACAGTTAATGCAGCGCTGGTGGTTAAACCCAGGGCTACATACCTAGCCCTAATGAAACATCCGAAAGGGCAGAGTCTGTAGCCAGCTGTGATGTCCTTGAGGACAAGAGCCAGGTTTCTGCTCAGGATGGTTTCCACAGCCTGGCACAGGACCCGGTACACACCTAACATGTTCAATGATCACTCATTGGCTGGCTGAGTGCTTAAGAACTAGAATGCAGACAGGGAAACACTTGAACAAACCCTCAAGGTCAAAGAGCAGCTTTGGAGCTCTGGCTCCATCCTGGGCCGGTCTCTGGGCACCTGCCTTGGTGTGATCCCAGCATTCCAAAGGTGAGTCACAGAAACACAGCATCTGGCTAGGAAGGGCACTGAGCTCTCTTGTATGCCTGTAATTGTGAACTGCAAGGAAGTATCTTTCCTCCTCCTCCTCCTCCTCCTCCTCCTCCTCCTCCTCCTCCTCCTCCTCCTCCTCCTCCCTCTCAAGTTCTCCCAACACTCCTCTGAGACCCGAATAGCTAGAGAGCCACAGTACAGAGTGCCAGGGCAAAAGTTTACCAATCCTGGCTAGAGGGTTAGCTTGGCTGGTACAATGCTCACCCAGCATGTATGAAGTTCAATCCCCTGGCTCCAATCCCCAGAACTACACAAAAACAGGCATGGGCAGCCAAGAAGGCTCAGCAGATAAAGGTGCTTGTGGCCAAATCTAAGTCTGAGTTTGATCCCCATTCTAAGGATGTACATGCTGGAGAGAACAGAATCAAGTTGTCCTCTGACCCCCATATATATATATGCTATGGCATGCTCAAGTGCCCCATCACACACACACACACACACACACACACACACACACACACACACACACACACACACAGAGTCTAAGTTAGTAAGTAAATAAGCAAACCGGGCATGGGGTGGATGGTTGTATGATGGAAGAAGTAGGCTCAAGGGCCCGGCAGTGATGGCCCAGGTGTTTAACCCCCGCACTCAGGAAGCAGAGGCGGTAATATTTGAGTTTGAGGCCAGCCTGGTCTACACAGTGCGTTTCAGGGCTAGGACAGCAACAGTGAAGAAGGATGGGCCAGAGGCCAGGTGTGGAGGCACGACAAGCCCTTTCTAAGATGTACTTTCTTCCTAGACTTAGGATGGGACTAGACATGCCTCCTGAACGAGATCAGCTGCAAGAGTACATGGGGGACAAATGCGGAGTGCCGCAGGGCCTGCTTCGCACGTGGTGGAACATCACAAATATTTGCTGAATTATGAATGGAAGATATTTCAAAATAAGTTTGGAAACCTCTTTTCTGGAAATGGTCCCTCTTCTGCGTAAATATTAGGTTTGGATTCGTGCAAAATGAGTAATGCCAATTAATCAATTTACTCATTCCATCATACACACTTGGAAGGAGGACTTTCTGAAATTAAAATGCACATATGCAAAACAACCTGGCAGGGCCCGGGAGGATCACATGTGGTAATGGAGGAGGAGGAGGCGCGATGCAAACTGTGAGGCCCGGGACAAATGCTAGCTGTCCTCATTACTCACTTGTTTACAGCTTGCTTGGCCCTGAAATCTCTGGCTTAACCTGAAAGAAAAAAGTGGGCAACTTTCCAAACTTCCAGGGCTAGGCCACAAAGTCCCCAGATAGAGAGGTCTGCGCCGGGCAGTGCACAGTCTCCTTCAGCCCCTCCCCTCAGGGTCCATGGTCACAATCTACATGGTGGAAGTTTACCATGGAGTCAACCCACAGTGTGCCAGGCAGGATCTCTGCAGAGGGACAGGCAGACACCGCACCTGTGTTCCTCAAGAGTCTAGGTCATGTGTAAGAGCAAGCTGGCCAGCTGGCAGTGGAGGGAAACTGAGGCACACAACCAGCACAGAAAGAGGGGGGTCACTTATTACCCGAGTTTAGCATCCCTTGGCATTACGCAAACCCACTGTTGCCTGTTACCAGAGCCAACTTTTTTTCCCGTGAGGAGCCAAAACTCCAGATTTTCATGTGGAATTTCTGGATTTTTAAAAAAATACTGGCAACTAATGTTTTTTAACTGTTTAGCACACTAGGTAGGCCAAGTAAACATGTACACAGGCTGTATTCATCCAGTGGCTTCTAGACCATTGCCTTGGCAAGCAGATGGTCAGCTCCCACCTTTACCCATCCTGACACCTGCCACAGGCCCAAGTCTGTGACTCCTAGGGGCTCAGAGGGCCCAGAAGAGGTTGCCTTCAGCTGGGACTCACCCTCTTCAGCAGAGGCTCCCCGGCCCTCCTTGGTTGTGCAGCAGCCATTTTCCACAGCTCGGGAGGATTCTGGTGGGGTCTCAGTTCCCTCTCCTTCAGCGGGGGCCCCACCCTTCTGCCCTGCAGCTGGGCTCCCCTCCTCAGGTTGGGGTTCACTCCGCTTTTCCAAGTCTCCATTGGGTAACAGATCTGAGGAACCAGAGTCCTGGGCCATCGGCTGAGACTTGCTGGTCACGGCAGAGTCCTTGGGTGTGTCACTACTCTCCACCTGGAAGGATGAAAACAGACAAACGTAAGGACTAGACCCTTGAGCCACAGGCCCTCCGAGTTTCTAATGAAAGTTGTGTGTACTGTGCCTTCGCGCGTGTCTCCACGCAAGCAGATGTAGTCACAGGTTTGCTGTCAACATCAGAGGACTAAGGGAACTGTGGAAATCAAGCAGGTGGGCCTGGTACCACCACCCCAGGGATACCCCTGCACCCCAACTCACTAAGACTCCTCCGGCTTCCCACTTCTAAGCCAATGATCCTGCAGCTGGGGATAAGCCCCGTTGGTAGCACGCTTGCCTAGCACGCAGGAAGCCCTGGACTCAGCACCCAGACTCAGCACGAAGACATGGTGGTGCACACCGGTAATCCCAGCACTCAGCAGGTAACGGCAGGGGATCAGGAGTTTACAGCCATCCCCAGCTACATTCTGAGTCTGAGAGCAGCCAGGGCTACACGAGACTCTGCCTTAAAACTAAAAGCTGGTGAGATGGCCCCATAAGGAAGGTGCTTGCTATACAAGCCTGGTTACCTGAGTTCAATCCCCACAGTAGAGAGAGCCCATTCTGCAAAGTTGTCCTCTGACCTACACACACATACACACACACACACACACACAGTGTGTGAGCCCATACACAAATGAACAAAATAAATAAAACATAACAAGAAACAAAAATTTTCCTCATGCTCCATCACTGAAACTGGACCCTTCCTCAGGAAATTCCAATGCCACCAGATCAATTCCAGAGGCCCCAAGGCTGGCCTGACGTCAGTGCTCATAGCTTTCCTCCTACTCTCTCACGGGGGCAGGGGCAGGGGTGTCAAAGAAGTCCTCCTTAAGAAGCATTCTCTGGATCTGAGCTAGAATCACCGCTCTCTGTCCCCAAATCAGACCCCAATAGGTTGTCAGACCCCGGATCACCAAGGCCCCAAGCAGTCTCCAGCCTGGACAGCAAATGCCCTGGGCATAGGCTCCTCCATGCCTGCTGGGAAAGACACTGGCTGCTTCATCCCCTGGGGCCTGAGGTCAGAACCCACTAAGGCTCCAACCGGCAGAAATCTAATCAAGATTCATTCAGGCTGTCCTCACATGTCCCTGTAAGTGTGTGTGTGTGTGTGTGTGTGTGTGTGTGTGTGTGTGTGTGTGTGTGTGTGTGATCTGTTCTTGCTCATCAGAGACAAGTGATCAGAACATCCTGGCAGACTGGAGGTGTTTGGCTCACTCTGGGTTCCTGCCTTAGGCAGACACTCTGCTACCTTTGCAGGCACTAAGGTGTGCTCAGCAACCCTGCAGTCAGAAAATGCTCAGGGCTAGGACGTGTAGACCAGGGGCAGAATTGGCTCAGCAAGCCCTGGGTAAGACATGAGCCAAGCATGGTTTGCATATGCCAGGAAGCCTGGCACCGGCATCTTGAAGGCAGAGACTAAAGGATTAGGATTTCGAGCTCACCCTTAGCTATATAGTGAGTTTGAGACCAACCTAGCTACAGGAGACTCTGGGCTTCCCTCCCCTCCTATTAGGTAAGGTGACTACACTTAATCAACGGATACTTCTCCTGAGTCTTTGTTGTTCTTTGCTTCGCATGGTCCAAGCTGGCCTTGAACTCAATATATAGTAAGGACGATCCTGAACTCCTGATTCTCCTGTCTTTGCCTCCTGTGTAGTGTGCTGGCACACATGTATCACCTTGCCTGGATTTTTTTTCTATTAGAAAAGTAATGGGGGGCTGGAGAGATGGCTCAGCAGCTAAGGGCACTGACTGCTCTTCCAGGAACTGTCTGTAACTCCAAGATCTGACAGCCTCACACAGATAAAACACCAATGCACATAAATAATTTTTTTTAAAAAGTAGTGGCACAGAGGCACAGGCATGCAGATTTCTTGAGTTCTAGGCCAGTCAGCACAACATAGTGTAAGAGTCAACAAAACAAAATAAACAGAAATTTAACTAGCAATAATTTCTTTTTTGCATGACAGGGTCACATTTATTCTAGGCTGGCCTCAAAGAATTGAACCCAAGTCCTTGTACTTCTAGACAGGTGCTGTACCCACTAAGCTAAAATCCCAGCCCCATAAAAATTTGAATTGCACAACCACAATGTTAAAAAGTACTGCAACATGGCTCAGCAGATAAGGCCCTTGCTGCCAGGCCTGATGGCCTGGGTTTGATGGCCACCAGATGGACAGAGAGCACCAGACTGCAAGTTGTCCTGGCCTCCACATTAGTCATCTCTCTCCCCATCTCACACACACAACCAAATAAATAAATGTAAACAAATTTTTGTTTGTTTTGTTTTTTGAGGCAGGGTTTCTCTGTGGCTTTGGATCCTGTCTTGGAAATAGCTCTTGTAGACCAAGCTGGTTTCAAACTCACAGAGATCCACCTGCTTCTGCCTCCCGAGTGCTGGGATTAAAGGCGTGCGCCACCACCACCTGGCAATAAACAAAATTTTTTAAAGAAAATAATTTTTTAAGGTTAAAACTCCAGTCTGGCAGTGGTGGCACACACCTTTAATCCAGCACTTGAGAGGCAGAGGCAGAGGCAGAGGCAGAGGCAGGCAGATCTCTGTGAGTTTGAGGCCAGCCCGGTCTACAAATCTCAATAGCCAGGGCCATTATACAGAGAAACCCTGTCTCAAACAAACAAAATGATAAAACTAAACAAACAAAAAGTTAAAACTCTGCATCAACACCCCAAGTTATTTTGTCTACGAAAATCATTATTAGCAGCTTCATAAGTATGCTTTTCAGTCCCCACCCCCACCCTCCAAAGAGGGTCTCACCATGAAGCTCTCGTGTCTTTGCCTCATGGGTGCTAGGATTAGTGTTGGGGGACCCTGCTCGGCCTTTTTAGACTTTCTGTTTCATTCACAGGCTGGAGAGATGGCTCAGTGGCTAACGGCTCTTGCAGAGGACCTAGGTTCAATTGCTAACAACCACATGGCGGCTGACAACTGTAACTCCAGTCCCAGGGGGGCCAGTCTCTCTTCTGGCATTCACAAGCACCAGCCATGTACATGGTGATCATACATACAGTCAGATAAACACTCATACATCACATAATTTTTAAAGAGCTTTATTCATTTATTATGCATACAGTGTTCTGTCTGCACGTATCCCTGCAGGCCAGAAGAGGGCACCAGATCTTATTATGGATGGTTGTGAGCCATCATGAGGTTGCTGGGAATTGAACTCAGGGCCTCTGGAAGACCAGCCAGGGCTCTTAACCTCTGAGCCATCTCTCCAGCCCAATAAAAATAATTTTTAAAAATGAAATAAAACAAGGTTTCATATAGCCTAGACTGGCTTCAAACAAGCTATGTGTGTGAGGCTGGCCTTGAAGTCCTGGACCTGCTGCTTTTGCATTCCAAGTTCTGGGATTAAAGGCATGTGCCAAAGGGCTGGACTTCCTTTTTAGACGTTCGCAGTCACATGTAAGTTACGAATTTATCCACATATTCACACACACAATGAGATCCAAGATCGTGTTTTATCATGCTCCGCATAATGTTCTACAGCTCACCTCTCCCCTGATAAGCACAGTGGCATCTCTCCACACCCGTGCATATGGCCCTGACTCCTGCTTGGCGGATGCTCTGTGACTCATGCCAGCCGTCTGTACTGAGGCTGCTCTGCTTCCTGCTGTAGTGAGTCCCGTTACTTCCAGTTCTCTATGGCCAAGCGTATCTGCAGGGCAGTCCCAGGAGGACAGGCTGGGCTAAGTGTAGAGACAAATGCCAACCCCCTTTAAAAAAGTCTCTCGCACCAGCACAGAGCCTGAGAGGCTCACACTGCTGGCCCTGACCTCACAGCCTCCAGTTCCGGTCTACGATGGGAACTGTGGGC